GGATTTCTGAGGACACCAGCCCTATGTTGAATCCCCCAGCCCCTGCAGAACACCATGACTTGGGCACATCGTCATCGGGATCAACCACAGGGCAAAGCTAGCGAGATGCCACCAGCTGCCGGGTCTCACCCAGCCTCGTCAGGTGGCCGGGGCGAGCACAGGACACCTACCTGGGTGTACAGATTCTGCTGGGGGTAGGCACTTCTGATGGGGTACATGGCCGTTTGGTACGGATTCGGAGACGGAGAGTAGGGCGGAGGCGCGTTGTTGCTCTGGGTTGGCGGGACCTTGTAGGGAGTCCCCGCGGTGTACCCTGGCAAGACAAGAGCAGCAAGCGTTGGAGGTGACGGGCACGAGCACGCAGGTGCCTAAGTCACCAGTGACACCAAAATCCCCTCAACTGCCCTATGGCTTCGCAAAAAGTGACAGCAGGAGCCGTTCAGCTTCACCCGTTGGCCATGGGTCTTGCTCAGTGTTGGGCTCCTCTTTGCATTTCAGGGCTGCGTGGGCTGCACAAAGTCACACTGCTCTTCCTGCAAGACCTGGTGCCACTGGCTCAGAAGATTTTCTGGCAAAACCCCCCAGATTTGTTGGTTTTATTTCAATGTGCCCTTCCTAGAGGCAGGAGATCCCCTAAGCATCTCCACTTCCCTTTGGTGTCTTTCAAAGGAATCTTTCTACTGATGGACTTGTGAGGAAGGCCAGGAAGAGATGAGCTTTCCTGAAGGCTCGAACACGGCCAAGGTTATTTAAGAAACAGCTTAAACCCCCTTTTAAAGCCTCTTCTGAGGCCACCGGGTGATTGGACAGACCAACTTCCTAATGTTTTTGCTGTTCCGGTGTCTTTTTCTGCTTTCAACTCCTTTTTTGCAGAAAATGGAGGGTTTGGGAAGTGCCACCTCTTGGTGTCAACCTTCCTTTCAGATGACCCATCAGGAGACACTGCTGGGCTGAACATCACAGGGTTCAACTGCTTCGAATGTGGATGCAAAGATCTCCCTGTGGAGCTCCCTGACTGCCAAATCACGGAGAATTTAGCAGCTCGACTACAAAAGTACTCAGCAGATGTCACCTTCCATGTTTGTAAATGAGAATTAAAAAAAAATAGAGGAGTTTGCACCGGTTGGTGGCTAAAAATGACTTGCAATCAAGTTTTAATGACCCCAGATGAGATCTGCAGCTCCTGGAAACACGCGCCTGGCAGGTGATTGAGAGCCTAATTGCAACCACCCAAGGCCTCTCGGGATCAGCAAGTTCCCCAGGGTCAGGTGCTGCATTTCAGCAGTGATTTTAAAGACTAGGATTAGACTGGGATTTTAAAGACTAAATTTGGGGCGCCCAATCTGAAAGACGTCTGTTTTTTCCATACAGTCCCCTTTGAAATTCCAAGTAAGCCGATAATCTGGAGTGTCGTGCAGCCACACAAGGGCACGTCAACCTCTTCTTTCCCTGTCTTCTCCTGCGAGGAATAAGCCTCTAGGGAGGACATCCCAGTCTTGGTTCTGTTGTAGAGCCTGCTGGGAAGCTCCTGCTGTGGAGGGTGGGTGCTGGAGCACCCCAAGGACCCAATCCATCCCAAATAACCCCTGCTTCCAAGCTCCTGGAAAGTGAGCAGAGCAAAACAGGAACAAAAATAACCAGGTAGAACCCCAGAAGCAAAGGTTTCTTTACTGAATGCTGCAGAAGAAGCTTGATAGGTTCTGTTCTCAGTCCCAGTGTCCACGGGGAGGTGGAAGGTGCCCTCGGTGGCACAGGAGGAGGACGTCTGTGGCCAGGCCTGCTTCATCAGAAGTGTAGCTTGAGTGGAGACAGAAAGGAGGTGTTACACCCTGCCAGTACCACGTGCCAACGTTGCAACCAAGCCACCCCATCCCACCTTTGTGTCACGTTTTAACCACCCTCTGCCTTAACTCCTCCTTTAAAGGAGGAGCCCATGGGGGAACTTCATGCTGAACTTCCTCTCCTGTTGCCTGTTCCTCAAGGAGGACCAATGTATGGCCACC